TTTTCTTTTTTTTTCACTTTCATTTGTTCCACGCAATTTTCACGAAACAGCGAAAATCTCAGAAAATTATTAATTTGAGCGTTATATATCTCATAAGTCTTCAAATGACTTTCCTAAAAACCGACCTATCACATTCAAGTAAAAAGATAACGAAAAAATGTTCTTGTCTCTAGATTGTTGTAAGTTTATCGTATTTTATCTTCTTTCTGCAATTATCCATTAAGTATACTTTATAAATAATTTCGCAAATTACGAATCTTCCAAAGTGCCTCGAACGAATTTCGTAGTTGCATTCGAGTAAATATCATTAAAATTTAATATATTATATGAAAATTACAAATAATAATTAATACACAGTTCAAATTTTTTATACCCTTAATTACTTTTTGAATGATTCGTACAGATAATTACCGGATTTTCTCTATTCTCTTATCCATTCGCATATAATAATTATAATTTATTTATGATCTTTTATACTGTACGATCACTTAACATATCTAATAAATATAATATCTCGATATGCGAAGCTAATGTCATAGATATCTAAAATTTATATAATCACATTCTTAAATTACTAAAATTTAATTATTTACAAGTTTTTCCCACATTATTTAATAAAATAAAAAAATAATAAACAAATTTTCTATTTCAAGATATTTAGAAAATTAATAAATAAAGTAATATATGGTACGCGCTATAATTTTATAAATAATAATAATATTGTATTAATCGCGTTAACTTGATAAAATTTTAAATGAAATGTAGCAACAAAAACAGATTTTGAAAATTGGTAAATGTAATTATACAATATAAATTCTAATATACAGGCTTAATATAAATAATTGCTATTTACAACCATTAATAAAATTTTTGTTATGTGTAATTAATATTTACACAAATAAATAAGATCTATCGAATATCGAGAGATTATTATAAATATTTCGAAGCATATTTGCAAGCAAGGTCGATCAAAGATCGAAGATACTTTAGTCGCTTCTCAATTATAAAAGTAAACAGACAGTTTATCAAGACTCTTACATGATATTAAACTAAATAATATGCATTGTGCTATAATTTTCTTTCGCTAATTATAGTGTGATTCATTATTACAAAACGTGTATACAATCTAAATAAATGTGATAATACACTTTATTGTACTTTATGTTTCTGAGTGTTTCTAGGTAGTTTTATGATAACGATATTATAAATTCATCTTAAATTGTGCGAACTGCATGCGATATACGAAACTAAATGGATTTCGTGAGATCTTAGTTGTAAGTTTCTATAGCTATAACTTTTCTTTTTTGACTAAAAAATGTTGAATAAAACTTACGTAAGAATATGATTATAATTAACATAATTTATCAGCACCAAACTATTTTCCAGCATCTATTTTCCATTAAATAGTATTTTTTAATTCAATTATAAGACAATCCAGATTTTTTTTCGTATGTCATATTACTGATTGTTTCTCGAAATAAATATGTATGAATTTTGCATGAATAATTTATAATATGGTACTTTCTAGATGTAATTATTGATACAATGCTTTTACTTTATTATGAGACACACTTTCGCAGATTTTAAAACTATTCAAAATAATTTTTTAATTTGTAGAATAACATTTAACACTTAAGTTGAATATTCTACAATAAAGTACAGAATATTGTAATTTATTGTCAGTGCAAGTAAACAATGTAAATAATTTTTAGCCGGAAAATATAAATCACATAGCGCAGAGACACTGCCGTGTCTCCTTATACCTATAAGAACACTAGATGTATACATATATCAATGTATACATTCTTGCATAACAATAAATTCGATTCTCGATTTGAATAATTCTCACTACATTATATTCTCAACTATAATAGTAAAAATTGCATAAAATATGAAGTATTATAATGAAAAATAGTGTGGTTCTTATTTTGTACTATTATATTTCATATTTTATATGATTTTTACTATTATATTTAAATTTTATGTACTGAGGTTAACTCAAATCGAGAATCGAAATATCTACTGCTATACGAGAATAAATTTATGTACATACATAAGCATTTAGTGTTGACTTTTAAAGGTATTTTAATGTGAGTAAGTTACATATGCAAGTTGCACACTTCACTGATAATAATATAACTATAATATAAAATATTGTAAAGTGGAATATAAAAACTGAAAAAAAAGAGAGTGAGAATAATATTGCACATGTGTTTGCGTTTTTTTCTTCATATTGAATCTCGTTAGACTTAAGAACATCAAATCTATCAATTCGATGTGACTTACTTCGATATTCAATTGGAGCGTAATAAATTTATGTACATACATAAGCATTTAGTGTTGACTTTTAAAGGTATTTTAATGTGAGTAAGTTACATATGCAAGTTGCACACTTCACTGATAATAATATAACTATAATATAAAATATTGTAAAGTGGAATATAAAAACTGAAAAAAAAGAGAGTGAGAATAATATTGTACATAGTAGAAATTATTTTGCGATGGAACGGATATCATAAACACAGTAAATTAGTTGTAAGTTATAAGAATAACTTGTCGCTATTACATAATAAAAACACACTTCTTTCGATTTGCTTGCACAAGAGTTTCACTTTATCGATATTTTACTTATCGTGACAATTTTATCTTGTGCAGTTTACCTCGAATAAAGTAAAATAGCTGCAATATTGATTCTTGGAATTAAATTTGTAGAATATTCTTGGCTGAAGCTCGAATAGTTGAGCCACAATTTGCATATCATCCTAGATCGCTTGACAATATTAAAAAATTTACAGTTTTACATATATTATATGAAATAAAATTAATTATTTTGAAACTTGTCAAGCGCAATTATTGTCAAATATCAAATAGCATAATTAAATGAAAAATTAATTAACAATTTTACAACACATTATCGTGTGGATAAATTAATACGTTTTTATGGCAGTAAATTATATGTTTATATGGCAGTAAAACGAAAAGTAATTTTTAAAAATTATGAAATTATTTTTATATCCTAAATTATGTAAAAGTGATTTTAAAATATTGTACAAGTCAAAAGTTTGCAGTTTCTAAAGCTTTACTTAAAGATGTTAATATGTCCATTTAGACATATTATATTCTTATAAGCACATGTACTTTTCTCATAACGACGTTAACGATTATAATGCATGCTCACGTCAATCTCAGTTTTGTGTGATATAATATGATTTGTTCATCTTTTTCTGATAATTTATACGAATTTATATATCAATTCGATGAAACGATTCTATGTCTCGACTCTGTATGCTTTTAGATAAGTATAATTGTATCGAAACAATACATTGATGGAGCTGCCTATATATATTGTATAATTGAACTTCCCCCCCCCCCCCAGTCCAAAGGTTTGAATTAATTCAATATTTGCATCACGCAAAATATTTCTGATACGTACTTCCAATTCAATATCGTCAATCTGTTCGTCATATTTTGCAAAATATGATATTACGTTTCCCCACGCGACAGATATCGCCGAATATATAGCGTGTGGATATCGATTAAACGATACATCTGATAGCACGTTCGTCAAACATCACTTTTAATTAAACGGGGTTGAAAAGCGGACACTTTATTATAGCTGAGAGTACAGCTACTTTTGTACGCGGATAGAATTCGTCTGACGTCAGAAAGCTGAAAAGCTTTTTACTTTTTCGAGATCCGCTAGAAAAATCGATGACACAGATACACATAATATCTTATATAATCGTATATCGTGTATTTATATACGTATATTGTGTATAGAAAGTTTAGCAAATATAAGTGGCCGAATTAAGGAGACATTCTCTTTCAGACCCCAAAATTATTTTGTCGGTAGCGTCTTAATTCTAAGACGTTTCTTTGTTTTACATTCATTTTTAACGATTACTTTCTCACGCTATTGGGCGTACTACGGTTAAAAATTTTCTTCTCCTAAATCCCCTGATTAATTTTATTCTACTTGTCCGCCAGTATACAAATTTATTATCATTTAAAATTATTTCTAATTTCTGCACATTTCTTTATGCAGAAAAACGTGCATCTGAAATTTCATTTATTATACTAATTAGAATTTTGAAGACATATAGTTTATGTTTTTGAGATACATGTTAAATTTTTATCAAATTCTTAATTCCGTAGGAACTTTTAAAAGAATTTATAAAGAGAGTATATAAGAGTTTTGTTTTGTTTTTTTAAATAGTTTATAAATTTTGGTCTCCTTAACTTGCCAGTGAGATACGTATTTTCTTTTCTATATATATATATATGTATAGTTTGTAGTTTGTCATACACAATTGTGCGCCCGTTATAGCGGGTTTGTAAAACCTGCCATGCCATTGCAAACTTATGTATTAAATAACAAAACTTTCCTTATGCGTCAGCAACTTTTTCACTCAATTAGCTCGATTATCGCAAGATAATGCCATATCGATACTGTTATATTGGTAGTCAAACTAAGTCGCAGTTTTGCAACAAATATAACTAGTCCTTTGCTAATTTATTGATGAGTATGTTAATTGAATACTCAAATAAAAACGCGAAGAATGGTATCGTGCAACATGATTGTTTCTGCTTTCGCGAAAAAGCTCCTTCCAACGAGAAATGACTGTCAATTAGATGTCCAATTTACATCAAATTGATGCCGAAAATATTATATCGATTCGACATTAATTTGATCGTAGAATCATTTCTCACTGGGCTGTTCAAAAGTCTGCCTTGGCATAAAGGTGCGTAACAGCAACGCAATCTCAGAGCAGTCTTATTGGAAACGAATTTCAGGAGGGACAATCACGTTGTATGTGCATTCGTATCGCGATTCTCTATATTGTTGGCTACATCGTAAAAAAATTTCTTGTATCTCGCCCGCATTCATTGATCTTCTGACTTCCGATGTGGAAGACATCTAAGCTTAACCGACGTGTGTTTGTAAAAATAGGCAAGTCTTACGTGCGCTATGTACGGGTGCGTCATGCTCGTCACTAAGATTACTCCTTTTCTTCAATTGCTTGACTCTCCGGGCCCAACAGAGTCGACTCGTGCTCCTTGAATTCTAGATCAATGTTCTTTCCTGCACGGTTACTCGCTTTACAGGCATCACAATTCGAGCACAAAAGTACACAGAGCATACCAAGCACCACTAAACCAATTCCTGCAAAGAGTCCATAACTTGCTATGGTTGCTACGTGTTTCATGATCTGCAAATTCAATAAAAGGATGTCATTTGCACGGCAATAATTCAGCTTTCTCTGAAATGTAATATTCTATATCAAATATTTCTTTCTCTTACACAAATTTTATGTTTCATAATGAATTAAGGCTCCTGTTTACTATTCCATTATGACGATGCAGGAAGATACGCAAAAAAGCATAATATATTTTTTACAAAATATATTAAAACGGAAATATGTTTTAATTTTTAGTAAAGCCACACTTATAATCAACATATTACTCTTGTATATAGTAATTTAATTTCTCTCCAAAAAGATATAATAATTTTTGATAGATTTGTATTTTATAAATATATTCTATCGAGAGAATGCAAACAATATATCTATTTAAATATATTTCACAAATATTTTTGTTGTGTATTTTCTGACGTTACAATTGGAAATAGTAGTTGAGAGCAGTCTCAGTAGCATTGATACAATTAATATTGAAAGCAATATTAGTTAATCAGCAGTATGTCAACGTGTAAAATATACATGTATATATTTAAAAATACATAAATTAAAAATAAAACAAAACGTTAAGAGAAATCGTATAGATAATATCTATTTAAAAGGTGCAAATTGGGTCACAATGAATAAATAAAATCATATAATTAAATCGCACTTTTAGATATATCTATTTTGGCGTTAATAAATATTATTAAATAAATAATCATTCTTTGAAATTGATTATTTTAATTTGTTATTAGATCAATCTTCTATCTATGACTTTGCATGCACGATAATACGTTTTCGTCAACTCTCGTTGGCCATCGGTGCAATAACCTGCTTGAAATTCTGATTTGTGCACTCTGTAATGTACGGAATTCACGACAGTGTTCCGTTTAATACCACTGAGCCTCTGCCTCTAAACAGCGATTTGCGTCCGTCTATTCATGAAATTTGATTTAATATTATTTATTATATATTTTGATCGAAACATGTAGTAATCTATTACACGTTTCTACATGTAAAAATGTTCGCGATCAATTAAATAAATTAAAAATATATGAATAAGTGTATGTATAAGACACAAGTTTTTATATTATTTTAAAGACATACATACAAGTAGTGTGTCGAAATAATGACTTTATACTGGTAAATTTTACTTTTTTGAGTAAAATGCTCTTTTACATTACAAAGATATTGTAAACTTTATAATATTGGGTTGAGGAAAAAATCTTTTCACATATCTGTAAAAGAACATTAATTTTCTAATATTTGTGTTAAAAATGAACGAAATTTAAATTTAAAAAAGGGCTTTAAAACTTGAAATCTTTACTCTCGAAAGGTTACTATATTTTTCGAGTCTCTGTTTGGTAATTTTTACATATAAAAAATTACAAGTTGAAAAAGATGAAAACTTTTTTCACTTAGTGGGTCTTTCACGTGCTAAAAAAATTTGCAAAAATTTTCGACTACTTATTATAAAATCTTCAAGCTTTTTCTACAAAATTCTTTTTTAAAAAGTGTTCCTACAATTTTTTGTTCCTGAGTTATTCGCGAGTTAAATAAAGAAACATTCTAAGTTTGATTGCTCATAACTTTGTTAGAAATCATCATATTACAATTAAAAACCAGATTCTTAAAGCTAAAACTTTGCTCTCTTATGTGAATGACATATATTATATGTATATATATATATATATATATAGTAT